CAATCTAAACACAAAAAAAAAATTAAAAGGACACTATAGTCACCCAGACCACTTCAGCTCAATGAAGTGGTATGGGCGCCAGGTCCCTCAGGTTTTAACCCTTCAGATGTAAACATAGCAGTTTCAGAGAAACTGCTATATTTACATAGCAGGGTTAATCCAGCCTCTAGTGGCTGTCTTTCTGACAGCCGCTAGAGGCGCTTCTGCGACGCTGGATGCGAAATTCGCATCCAGCGTGCAGAATGTCCATAGGAAAGCACTTGCCGCGCATGTGCATTCTGCTCCACTCGGGAGCTGACGCCGGTGGGGGAGGAGAGGTCACCAGCGCCGAGGGAGCCCGGCACTGGATTAAGGTAAGTAACTGAAGGGGTTTTAAAGCCTTCAACGCCAAGGGAGGGGGACCCTGAGAGTGGGGGGGAGGGGAGGATCCTAAGGATGATATAGTGTCAGGAAAATGAGTTTGTTTTCCTGACACTATAGTGATCCTTTAATGGAGTGGATTTGGTGTATAGATCATGCCCCAATAGTCTAACTTACACATTTCACAATCTCTGCAATTTTGAAATTAAATCACTTCGTTTATGCAGTCCTAGTCACACCTTCCCTGTCTGAGACACTACATACAAGTACACCACTAGTTTCCAATGACAACACCACATACAAATACACCCCTACATTCACAGATATACTTCATACAAAAACATGGAGTGCTTGCAAATCATTCTGTAGATGGATAAAACAGTACCTTTACATCTTACAATTAAAGATAAAATATTGATGGCTTAATAAGTTGTAGACAGCAATCCCACCACCACCTCCATATACATTCAAATTACCCATGTGCCGTACACAATTCTATATTCCCTGAAGTTGTCTCTGACCACCTGTCCGTAATGTGGCGTATGACACTTTGCCAAGAGGCTTCTGTTTCATCAATGATATCTCCAAGCAAATTCATAGAAATATTTTTCCAGTTTTCTGATATGTTATTTAGATTATAAAGAAATTATTGAGGCCTAGGGCAGTAATATTAACTGGGGAACTGTTACGGTACCTCCAGTACTGAAATGTACAAACCGCCGTTTAGCGAGTATTCCCTGTTCGCAATAATGTGGTTGGGTAGCGGGTATAATAAAACCATGCGAACCGCCAGTCAGGGAACACTCCAAACTCCCGAACGGTACCCGTACGGCTAATTCCCTTTACGAGCTGCAAATCCACGAACGGCAATTAGTAACCGAACGACAATATCTCCCAAGCGGCAAATAATCCAAATAAACAGTCTCTCGCCGCTGGTATCCAAATCCCCCCAATAACGAGACCAAGCTCCGCTTTGAGGGTAAAACACGAACTGATTTACTGTGGGCTACCTGCCCGGTATTTATGCAGGTCTCCCATTTGGTGGACACTCCCCTAGGGGACCAAATGGGAGACTGAAATCACAGAAGGACATGGGGACATTTTGGACATACATCCCCACAATATTCCCAGCATGCAGTACAGTTCCCTCCCCTCTGCTCGGGGGATAATTGGGAAGTAACTCAATTATCTCCCCGGGCAGAGGCAATCGCCATTTTAAACACAAGTCACAAAACACATGAAAATCCATAACTTCATAACTGCCGAACATATTACATTCGTATTGCATATCCCCAGATAGCCTGGATCTGAGGGCACATTATTGAAGAATAGCGCTCAGATCCCATTCGCACAGTTCAATCGCCATGGAGTCAAAGTCTCTTTCAATTCGTCGGTATGCGATTGACTCCATGGGACGGCTATCTGGGTTAAGTCCATTCGTGTGGTTGAATCTCCCGAACGGCTGGCATTCGTATGCTTTTGTCGATTGAGAAGGGGAGGTCGACGGCTTCAGCGGTGTTTGGCTGAAAAAGTGTCCGTTTTCCGATCCATGAAATAATCGTCGAACACCGCTGGTCGTTCGCATGGACAAAATGGCCGCCGCCTCGTGGTCGACATACGAACGACGACCACCCGGCATTCGGTTTTAATTGAGAAGTGTCTGTGGTTAACCGCAACGTTCTAATTGGGATCAATAGGTTAACCAGCAGCACAATTCTCTTCTGGGTGGCCATCCGTTCGGTAGTTCCGTTCGACAAAAACCGACATTCCCTTGAATAAAGCATACGAATGGGGAAATTCATGTAACCGGCAAAACAGGCGAACACAGCATTTATAATCCAGACAGATGGGTCTGTCACACGGCTCCCCCCTTGTGGAACACTCCGGCAGACCCGGCTTGACCCTTTGGCGGGTCAATTTGGGGATGACCGGACTGGGAAGAAGTAGGGACGTCTGTTTGCCGGGACAACCCATCCGCGTTCCCATTCTGCTTACCGGGTCGGTAGCTGATGGTGAAGTTGTAAGGCTGTAGTGCCAAACTCCACCTCAGCAGTCTGCCATTGTCTCCTGAGACCCGGTTAAGCCAGACAAGGGGGTTATGGTCCGTAATAAGGGAGAATTCTTGTCCGTATAAATAAGGGCTCAATTTCTTCAGTGCCCAGACCAGGGCTAAACACTCTTTCTCCACTGCCGCATAACTTACTTCCCGGGGTAGTAACTTTCTGCTTAAGTATGCGACAGGGTGCTCTCCTCCATCTTCCCCGACCTGGCTTAGCACAGCCCCCAGTCCATACATGGAAGCATCTGTATGTACAAGAAAACGTTTGTTAGGGACTGGGGCAGCCAGGACAGGGGCATTCACAAGAGCCTGCTTAAAGGACCACTCTAGGCACCCAGACCACTTCAGCTTAATGAAGTGGTCTGGGTGCCTGGTCCAGCTAGGGTTAACCCATTTTTTCATAAACATAGCAGTTTCAGAGAAACTGCTATGTTTATGAATGGGTTAAGCCTTCCCCTATTTCCTCTAGTAGCTGTCTCATTGACAGCCACTAGAGGCGCTTGCGTGCTTCTCACTGTGATTTTCACAGTGAGAGCACGCCAGCGTCCATAGGAAAGCATTATGAATGCTTTCCTATGAGACTGGCTGAATGCGCGCGCAGCTCTTGGCGCGCGTGCGCATTCAGCCCAGGAGGAGGAAGGAGGAGGAGAGAAGGAGGAGAGCTCTCCGCCCAGCGCTGGAAAAAGGTAAGTTTTAACCCCTTTCCCCCTTCCAGAGCCAGGCGGGAGGGGGTCCCTGAGGGTGGGGGCACCCTCAGGGCACTATAGTGCCAGGAAAACGAGTATGTTTTCCTGGCACTATAGTGGTCCTTTAAGTGCTTGAAACGCGGCTTCACAAGCTGGAGACCACAGGACCTGCTTGGGCAAATTCTTCTTAGTCAGGTCAGTCAAGGGCTTAGCAACCGTACTGTAGTCAGGGACAAAACGTCGGTAATACCCTGCCGTCCCCAAGAAGGCCAGCACTTGGGTCTTGGTGATAGGTGTGGGCCAGTTAGCCACCGCCTCTACCTTGGCCGGCTCTGGTCTCTGGCTCCCACACCCCACTCTGTGACCCAAGTACTGTACTTCTGCCATGCCTAGATGGCACTTGTCTGGCTTCAAGGTCAGGCCTGCGTCCCGAATCTTGTCCAGCACCACCCCCACGTGTACTAAATGGTCTTCCCAGGACTCACTGTAGACCGCAATGTCATCCAGGTATGCACATGCAAAATCCTGGAAGCCATCGAGGAGCCTATCCACCATACGCTGGAACGAAGCCGGAGCATTCTTCATCCCAAATGGCATAACCTTAAATTGGTACAGGCCAAATGGGGTGACGAATGCCGACTTCGGGATAGCATCCTCGGCCAGGGAGATCTGCCAATAACCTTTACACAGGTCAATGGTGGTCAAGTAGCGCCCCCTGGCAATGCGGTCTAATAACTCGTCTACCCGGGGCATAGGGTAGGCGTCAGTGATGGTCCGCTCGTTGAGCCGCCTGTAGTCCACACAGAACCGGGTGGTCCCATCTTTCTTAGGCACCAGAACTACAGGCGAGGCCCAAGGACTGTCTGAGTGTTCGATAACCCCCAGCCTGGTCATCTCCTGTATCTCCGTCCGCATTCCTTCTCGGACTGCTTCAGGGATACGGTACGGGGGTTGTCGTAGGGGGTTCTGTCCGGGTGTCTCGACCTTGTGTACAGCTAGGGTAGTGTACCCGGGTTCTTGGGAGAACGTCGCCTGCTTCTCCCACAGTAACTGTCTCGCCTGTACCTTCTCTGCCGGGTTTAGCCGGTCCCCTAGCTGTACAAGACTAGTAAGGTCTGTCTGGAGGTCTCTCTCTAGCAAGTCAGGTAACGGTAAGTTCTCGGGGTCGTCAGTAGCTGGGGCACATACCGCCGCAACATCCTCTGGTCGTTCCTGATACTCCTTCAGCATGTTCACATGGAAGGATCGCTGAATCCTTTCATCTGAACAGCTGGCTATAAGGTAGGTAGTATCACACACCTGAGCTAATACTTTATATGGGCCCTGCCAAGATGCTTGCATCTTGTCTGTCTTCACAGGCTTGAGTACCAGAACCTTCTGCCCAACCTGGAAGACCAGCTGTCGGGCACCCCGATCGTACCACCGTTTCTGTCTCCCCTGGGCCGCCTGGAGATTCTCCCTGACCATCAGGGATAGTTTCTCCATGCGGTCCCGGAGCTCCAGGACATATGGTACTATGGGAGTCCCTTCTTGCTCTGTCTCCCCCTCCCAGTGTCCTCTAATGAGATCTAGGGGTCCACGGACCCTTCTCCCATAGAGTAACTCAAAGGGGGAGAACCCAGTAGATTCCTGGGGCACCTCTCTGTATGCAAATAGCAGATGAGGCAGGAATCGCTCCCAATCTCTGCAAGTGTCAGTAAAGGTCCTCAACATCTGTTTGAGGGTGCCATTAAATCGCTCGCAGAGACCGTTAGTCTGTGGGTGATACGGTGAGCTAAGCAGAGGTTTAATAATAAGCACACCTTCCACAGCTGCTGGGTAAGCACAGCGGTGAACTGGGTTCCCTGATCGGAGAGGATCTCCCGAGGGAACCCGACCCTAGTGAAGATTTTAACCAGGGCATCAGCAACCGTCTCTGCCTCTATATTAGACAGCGCTACTGCCTCTGGATAACGTGTGGCATAGTCCACCACGGTGAGAATATACTTCTTACCTGATGGGCTAGCCCTGGCCAGTGGACCCACAATGTCAACGGCTATGCGGGAAAAGGGTTCTCCAATAATAGGCATCGACTGAAGCCTAGCTTTTGGGTGATCCCCCCGCTTACCTACCCGTTGACAAGTGTCACACGTGCTACAGTAAACCCGCACATCTCGGTTAAAATTGGGCCAGAAGAAATTTTGTGTGATCCTATGAGCTGTGCGGCGGGAACCTAGATGGCCTGCTAATGGCACATCGTGCCCAATCCGCAGAATCTCCTGCCGGTATTTTGCAGGCACCACTAGCTGTCGATTCTGCGGAGGGGTACTCGGCTTCTGGGACGGTTTCGGGATCCTGTACAATCTATCCCCCACCCACTCGTAGTGCTCCCCATCTACTCCTTCTCCCCCAGAATCGGCCCTGGCCCTGTACTTGGCTAGCGTCGGGTCTTCCCTGGTTTCCTTCCCGTACATCTCTGGGGTATCCCAGCCTAAAGGGGCCTGGTCTAAGGTACAAGTCGGGGGAGAGAGTCTTACCTGGGTCTCAGCAGCAGGTGGGCCGGTCTCAGCGGCACGGGTCTGGGCACGGGTCGTGACAGCATCCACTTCAGCAGGACCCATGGGAGCGTAGGCGGAAACAAGGGGCGCCAAGTCATTGCCAAGGAGGACATCCGCTGGTAAGTCCTTCATGACCCCCACATTCACATGTCTGGCGCCCACTCCCCAATCCAAATGTACCCGGGCAACGGGCAGACGAAACACGGCACCCCCGGCCACTCGCACTGCGACCGTGTCCCCTGTATGTTGGGCTTCGGATACCAGGTGCTTCTGGAGCAAGGTCATGGTTGCCCCGGTATCCCGTAGACCACTGACCTCCTTCCCGTTGACTTTTACACACTGTCGGTGGTGCTGCCTGTTATCCCGGTGGGCAGCCTGAACGGGGTCTGCCTCATGCAGGATGCCCCAGCACTCTTCTTCCTCTACACAGTGAGCGGCTGGGGTGGGAGGTCGTGGATTGCCGCCGGCTGGTCTCCTCCAGGACTGGTTCTGGTTGGCGCTGTTCATCGGACACTCGGGTCGCTTGTGCCCTAGTTGCTTGCACAGGTAGCACCGAATGGGTTGGGCATACTCCCGTGAATTGAACCGAGGTGGCTGTTGGTACGGTGCAGATGGAGGAGGTGCTGCTGGGCGATGCATTGGAGGCTGGTATAGGTTGGCTGCTGGTGGGGCTGCTGGCCTGTACTCCACTCTGGCGGGAGCCTTGTTGATGAGACTGTCCAGTTTGCGGGCGTCAGTATACTCATCCGCCAGGCGAGCGGCTTCGTGCAGAGTGGAGGGTTTACGGTCCCTTACCCACTCCCTGACCCCGGCTGGCAATTTATCGAAACAATGTTCCAAAAGAAACATCTGCAGCACCTCTTCTCCGGACACAGCCTGGCACCCCGCCATCCAGTGGGCGGCTGTGCGATGCACCTTACATGCCCATTCCACGTATGAGTCCCCAGAGGTCTTGACAGTGTCTCGGAACCTCCTCCGGTACGCCTCAGGTGTAACGGCATACCGGGAGAGTAAAGCTTCCCTGACGGCCACATAATCCCCAATCTCCTCATCAGGAATGGCCCGAAAAGCCTCGCTGGCCCGGCCTGATAACTTGCCGGACAATATAGTAACCCATTCTTCCAGGGGTACCTTGTGTAGGGCACATTGCCGCTCGAAATCAGCAAGGTACCCATCAATCTCTCCTTCTGTTTCACTGAAGGCTTTAAACGCAGTAAACGGTACCTTTTTCCTACCTCCCGGGTTTGCTGTGACTGGGGCTGCTGCAGCACCGCTTTGGCGAAGCAGGTTGGCCTCCACAGCTGCCATGACCCGGTCAATGGTTTCTGTAGTCGGGTTGGGACCATAATGTGCCAGCCTGATTCTTACCGCCCGGTCAAAGCTTGCCTCCTCGGGGGTTCTGTCAGCTGCGCTGGGTCCATTGGTTCCCTCTGCCGCTGGTACTCCATCCATTTCCAGCAATAACGCAATAATATCCCTCTTCCTGAGGTTACTGGCTTGTCCCCCTCTTTGCTCCAATAAATCCTTTAGGGTAGCCCTCCTCAGGTTTTGGTATTGTAATTCCATTTAGTCCTGGTTGTAGTGGTCTCTTTGGGCGTTGAGGATCATCCCGTCGCTTGCCACCAGTTGTTACGGTACCTCCAGTACTGAAATGTACAAACCGCCGTTTAGCGAGTATTCCCTGTTCGCAATAATGTGGTCGGGTAGCAGGTATAATTAAACCATGCGAACCGCCAGTCAGGGAACACTCCAAACTCCCAAACGGTACCCGTACGGCTAATTCCCTTTACGAGCTGCAAATCCACGAACGGCAATTAGTAACCGAACGACAATATCTCCCAAGCGGCAAATAATCCAAATAAACAGTCTCTCGCCGCTGGTATCCAAATCCCCCCAATAACGAGACCAAGCTCCGCTTTGAGGGTAAAACACGAACTGATTTACTGTGGGCTACCTGCCCGGTATTTATGCAGGTCTCCCACTTGGTGGACACTCCCCTAGGGGACCAAATGGGAGACTGAAATCACAGAGGGACATGGGGACATTTTGGACATACATCCCCACAATATTCCCAGCATGCATCACAGTTCCCTCCCCTCTGCTCGAGGGATAATTGGGAAGTAACTCAATTATCTCCCCGAGCAGAGGCAATCGCCATTTTAAACACAAGTCACAAAAACACATGAAAATCCATAACTTCATAACTGCCGAACATATTACATTCGTATTGCATATCCCCAGATAGCCTGGATCTGAGGGCACATTATTGAAGAATAGCGCTCAGATCCCATTCGCACAGTTCAATCGCCATGGAGTCAAAGTCTCTTTCAGTTCGTCGGTATGCGATTGACTCCATGGGACGGCTATCTGGGTTAAGTCCATTCGTGTGGTTGAATCTCCCGAACGGCTGGCATTCGTATGCTTTTGTCGATTGAGAAGGGGAGGTCGACGGCTTCAGCGGTGTTCGGCTGAAAAAGTGTCCGTTTTCCGATCCATGAAATAATCGTGAAAAAAAACATGAAAAAAATCATGAAAAAAACCCGGCATTCGGTTTTAATTGAGAAGTGTCTGTGGTTAACCGCAACGTTCTAATTGGGATCAATAGGTTAACCAGCAGCACACTTCTCTTCTGGGTGGCCATCCGTTCGGTAGTTCCGTTCGACAAAAACCGACATTCCCTTGAATAAAGCATACGAATGGGGAAATTCATGTAACCGGCAAAACAGGCGAACACAGCATTTATAATCCAGACAGATGGGTCTGTCACAGGAACATCAAACAATTCCCTTTGGGATTATCCCTCTGGAGGTAGCTTAGAAGAAGGGAGTTACCTATCAAGGAAAATGGGGAAATTAACATCAAATATCTTTGGAATAACTTCAGGTCTAGACTCCTTGGCACGCCATATGTACTGGAGTACAGAATGAGCTGGGTAAACACAGCAGTTACTGCTTATTCCTGGACAAAATTGGGTGCTTTAACTCCTTGATGGTCAATGTTATAATCAAAAAATGAAATCCTTAAAGATGTTGCCAATTTAGAATATTCTGTATTGATAGTCTAGGAAACCCTTAAGAATGTCAATGGTCCACTGCTGGATCAGTCATTTAATTCCAATCTGTCATATGATCAATTAAAACTGTGTTAACAACAACTGTTGTTATTGGTACCCAAATGGTTAAGGTGACAGTACGACTTTATTTTCAAAAATAAATTACTTGTGTGGCGAGAGCAACCTCGCCACATTGCATTGGAGAAGCCTGGTTGCTCGCCTGTTACCTTTGGATTATGGCCCTATGTTACAAGACCCCTTTTTCTCTGCAGAAAAGACTTAATTGTGCTTTTCTGCCCGGTGTTTGGTAGATTCAGTCTACCGAACAACTGCACGAATGACTGGACCACCTGGGAGCTGGAGTGTGCCGGCAATTAGCCTCCCAGAAGCTGCGGTTAACCGCAGCTTAATTGACGAATACTGGGTGGCCGCAATTTGTATCACAAACACAAGGTTGTGGCCATTTTAAACACGCGAACGCACAGCGGTGTTCGACACCTAACTCATGGAACTAAAAACGGACACAGTTTGGCGCGAACACCGCTGAAGCTGCCGACCTCCCTTCTTGTTCTGCGGGAGTGCACGAACGGCCCGGTGTTCGGTAATTTTACCTGACTGTATTATACCCCAGATAGGAATCCCATGGAGCTCATTCGTATGAGAACTAACTTTGTAAAGACTTTGGCTCCATGGCGATTGAACTGTATTCGTGTGGTCTGAGTGCCATTCGCTTAATAATGTGCGCTCAGACCTGAGCTACATGTTAAATGTATAGTTTTATTGTAATGTGTCTCACATAGTGTATTTTAATAGTAATTCTTTTTTTAGTATCCCCAAGTGCATAATGGCGATTTGCCTTTGTCCTGGGAGATAATTGAATTACTTCTCAATTATCTCCAGGGCAGAGGAGAGGAAGCCAGGATGCATTGTGGGAATACAATGTGACTGTGTGTCCTATTTGGCTACTTGTCTGTCCCTTGTCACAGTCTCCCATTTGGTCCCCTAGGGGAGTGTCCACCAGGTGGGAGACCTGCATAAATACTGGGCAGGTAGCCCTCATTAAACAGACCACTGCTTGACCCCCAACACGGAGCATTGTCTCGTCTTTGGGGGGATTTACTTAATGCTGATAGAGACTGATTGCTAGGAGTGTAAGCCGCTTGGGTGCTTTTCCTATTCGTCTGCTAGCAGCTATTCGTGTGGTTCCAGTTCGTGAGTTTTGAGTGTTATATTGTATGCAGTTCGGGAGATTGGAGCATTCCCTTATTGGCGGTTCGGGAGTTTGGTGTTCTACAGTAGCTGTGCCTGCATCTCTGAAAGGGGGCCGATCGCCTAAACGGTTTTAACCCCTTGTGTGCTGAAACAGTCCGTTACAACTTGTATATTCTGTAGTCAGCACACACAGATAGACCCGCAGGTTCTAAACCACAGACCAACTTGAAACCTACCATACCAACTTTTAAACCATATACCAACTTTTAAAACACATAATTAATTCAATCCCTAATAACAACCTATTCCATCCCACAATTTACGTATCCAGCCCCTCACTGCTGTGACCAGACAGAGGATAACTCCAAACCTAACACAAAATCATGGAGGGTGGGAGGGACAACAACAAAGTCTGTGAGAAAGCATTAGAATGGAAACATTTTAAGATGGCTGCCTAAATGTATCAGCCCCGCCCATCCCAGATAGCTAGCCAATCCAAACACACTAACTCTGAATGCTCACTTCCTAGCTCTGTCAAAGCCCTATTCCACTAACCTATGCTGCTCCATGGGCTACAATATTGTGTATCATTTGTCATTTTATCTGCAATACTAGAAATAACGTTCATGTATAACAGGCAGCCCCAAGTAGTTATGTTTTGTCTTTACATGTGCACAGTGAATCAAAACCATGGAGAAAATTGTATTTAAGCATTTTTCCTAATTTTGGCACAAGGGTGGGAGTGAATAATTTGAAATCGAACTGCGCACTAAAATTTTTATTATTTTATTTTTTTGACCACACACTGGACTGGCTGTCTTAGCATGATGTGTTTTTTCAGCAGAGCTCTTTGTATGGTCTGCCCTGTGTTGAACGGTCACTCAGCCTGGCGTGCATTCTTGCCGGGTGGGCATTTGCCCATTTCTTTATTGGTGGTCTCATGCAGATCTGCCCTGTTCTCAGACTGACTCAGGTCCCGGATCACCACCAGGCAAGGTTGTAAGGAATGCTGTATAGAAGGCACTTGATCTATGATCTACTGCAAGAGAGGTCACTGAAGTCCCAGTTGTCTTATCTGCAGAAGTGTAGGCAGGAACTTCACTGAATCCCTAAGCAGCCACCCGGTGCTCCGGAGCAGGACCAGCAATCCCACAACAGCAAAGCAAATAGAAGAAATATCTCCAGGCACTCAGAATGTTAAAGCTGCAGGCAGATTTATTGAAACAGAAAGGACAGCAACATTTCGACCTAACAGGAGGCCTTTGTCAAGCTTGACAAAGACCTCCTGTTAGGTTGAAACGTTGCTGTCCTTTCTGTTTCAATAAATCTGCCTGCGGCTTTAACATCCTGAGTGCCTGGAGACATTTCTTCTATTTTCTTTCCAGTTGTCTTATCTATGATAAGTTATACATTCTGCAACAAGTTTAAAATAAACAACTAAATTGTCTTTACATGCTCTTTCAGATCTTTAAAGGCAGTTTCATTTATGCATTTCATTAAAGTCTGTAAATCTTCTAACTTGTCCTGTGTCATATCACCTCTATTAACTCCATGTTTTCCATGTAAGTTCATCTTCTTTTTCAAGGAGGTCTTGACTCTTTGTCCCCCGGGATTTAGAAATATGCTGTGTCTTGGTTGTTTAATTGGGTGCGGTGAACATGAAGTCTTAAAATGAAGTAAGAGCCTGACATAAATATGTACCAAATGAAATCAAGTTACTTTGTTGACCTTCAGCCAAGAAGAGCTACCTTACTCAGCTGAGTGTCTGCACACCACCTATTCCTGACATTCATCTAACATCATATTAAATCTAGACAACACAGGACTGCGAAGCTAGAGGGGTCTGGCACAAGAAGGCAATTGGTGATACTTTTACGAGTTCATGTTTTCAGGTCTGGAATGAAAACTGTATTATTACACTGCTAGTAAAGGCACAGTGGGAGTTTTGAGTTTAAATCAATTACTGTTCCCTGGAACATGGCCCAAAATAAAATAGAAATATTCATGCGGTTCTGGAAACTTGTCTAATGTAACTGGATCAGCTCGCATACAATTGAACACAGGCTGGCGAAGACAGCTGACTTTGGCTCTGTTTGCAAGAAAGTTATATATACAGTGAACACAGGATGTTTTATGATGGGATTATCACGTTTTACCAAACTTTGTGCATTTTGGATTCACATGAAGGTAACCAGAAAGACAGATCTCTGAAGACTTCTAGAAGCACATCTGTAAAAAAAAAACTATGCTATAGAAAAAGATAAGTGGGATACGAATGCTTTATTCAACTCCAGTGACTCTTAACCCCTGGTCATAGGTTGTGTCATTCGGTCTTCATTTGATGAATTGGAATCGTCATATTTATCAGACCTTAAGCAACTGCTCACAATATTTTCATCAAACTTTCCCATCTCTTTGTTTTGGCATTTATAAGAATGGGAAGTTTTAAATAGTAGGAGGTATTGCATGAGGGAAAGTGGTCAGGGAGAGGCGTGACTAGGTAGGGGAGCTGTGAAGATGTTTCGCACATGGTGCCTAAAGGCCTATGGCTCACGTTGCATCTAGGGCTGCATAAACAGAATTATTCAACACCTAAATGGCAGTGAATTGAGCGATGAGACTGCAGGGGCATGATCTGTACACCAAAACCGCTTAATTAAGCTAAAGTAGTTTTGGTGACTATAGTGTCCCTTTAAATACTATAACTGAAAGGGAAAGCAAACTTATGAGCACAAAATGACTGCAGACTTACTGAGCATTAAAGTGAAGGAGAACAGCAGTAACCTCCTTCCAGCCGAAGGTATACGGCACAAATGCACTGTCCACGACACTCAGCAGTCAGACCTGGAGACAAGTGGCATAACCAAAAAGTTTCATACCCCTAAAATTAGAGCGTCCATTTGAAATGCTGGGAGCTATGCATGTCGGGTGTAACTATATGAACCTAGAAATGTTTTAATTTCAGGAGAACACAAGCATTTGGTGACATTCCAATTTACGGATATGTGGTTTGCAAACTCAATAATAGTTTTCTTCTCTCTGCATGGGACATGGAACGTCAAACATTTATAGCACATTATGTATTTCTGTGCATGAAAGCATTTGAAGACTATTGTAATGTATCCATGTCATTCTCAATAATGTCATTCCTAAATGTGTATCATAACCAATCAAACATTGTGTATTTTCCATGTCAATCCATCTGTCCATCCGTCCGTGTATTTCTCTTTCTATCTATCTATCTATCTATCTATCTATCTATGCATATACGTATGGTAAAAATACTGATTTCCACCCTGACTGATTTTCACATTTTCAAGACGCTCAGATTACTCCGAAAAGTACTTGTCTGATTTAAAGTTCTCCTGCTGAGATCACGTGTAACTGGCGCATTGTTGGCAGTTTGTTCTGCTAGCTGGGAATGTGAGCCCCATTAACTCTGCAAGACTGCTCATGGAAGCAAAAAGTAAAAAACAATTGTTCCAGAAAACATACACTATGTTGCGTGGCGCCCCCTTTTTGACACACCAGGCAGAAATTCAGTTTGGTAATGGTTGAGTCATGTGCAGGACAAGGTCAATATTCTTTTAGCTACTTCAACAGGTTTTCTGCATTCACCTGGCATAGAGATATATAGTATACCCCACACCTCCCAATTGTCACGGTTTCTGCTATACAGTCCCTATATTCATGCATTGTCCTGCCATCCCCACGTTTGGAGACATCAGGTAACTGTCCCCAACAAAAATAAACATTAGATGCACGCTGCCCTGCAGAGGACACTAAAAAAACAGTGCTTACATCCAGGGTGTGCTGGTCTGCCACGGGTGGAGCCAGTGACACAATTGCATCATTGACCCATGCCATTTACACTCCTTCCACCGGCCTCCTGATTCTCGATACCCTATGATGATGTCACAGCTCCACAGTCACTGAACTTCAAAAACTTTATATAACTATTCAAAAGGGCTATGCAGGGTATATATTCCTGCTTTTTTTAAAGAGCTACTGTTGGTACACAGGCATTGACTATCAGTGTTTTTATCAATTGCCATGAAAGTGTGAATGAAATGGTAACAGGATCTTTCTTTTATTCAGAGTTTGATAAATGTGTACTTTAGGTGCAGTGTAACTGGATTGGTCGCAGGAGCATTGGTAAGCCAGGAGCTAATTTATTAAACAGATAGTAACAAAGCCTTCTTGATACTTATAGACTATTCACTAAAGTGATAATTCAAAGTGATTTTTTTAAAAAGGCCAAAATAGCCAATCTGTAAAAAAATCTTTAAAGGAACACTATAGGACCAGGAACACAAGCATGTATTCCTGACCCTCTAGTGTCAAAACCACAATCTAACTACTCTGCACCCCCCTTGCCTCCCTAAATATAGTACACTCTTACTTGTATACAAGTCTGCAGCTGCTGCCTCTGCCCATGACCTGCCTGCATGCCTGGCATCATATGAATTGGTGGTCTGAGCCAATTGGGACAATGCTTCCCCATAGGATTGGCTGAGACTGTCAAGGAGGCAGATCAGGGGCAGAGG